AGAAAGTGTGCTTAGCCTTTGCAGGGCCTGGGTCCAACCCCCAGTGCCATAAGAAGACCATTTGAGCTGCTTGCAGGTGGCTCACCAGCATTTAGTAATCTTAACTACTGACTGACCTGTAAAGATTAAGGTTTGAAGCTACTCTGGACCGGAAAGTGTGAGATTCTTACCTCTGGTTAAGCCAGCAAGAAGCTTAAAAGAGAGTTGTGGCTGAAGATACACCTGCGCCCACTTATGCCAGTGGGGGAGCCGTAGCCTAGGTTCAGTCTAGGCAATGCTCGTTTCCTTGTAGAGATGCACCTTGCATTCTGTCACTGTTGACTGTCCCGAGTCTCAGCCTGCAGATCAGTGGGTGGGTTCTGACCCATGTGGTTTGGTTTAAACGAGGTAGGTTAGAATAGTATTTAGGATACACTGAATTAGGACTCACATTACTTCTTCCTTTGTGTGAACATGAAGTTGTAAATAAAATGTGGTCAGTGCCAGATTTGGTTAGTTTGAACTCAGAACCTAAACTGCTTGGCTTGAGAAACATTTTAAGTACCTACTTGAGGCTGTCATTTGGTTGCAAGCAACCCTCCTCTGCGAGACCAGCCCTATAGTGACAGTAATTTCCAATCCTCAATGGCTTTTAGGCCTACCTGGTTCTGTTCTTTCTCCCCTGAAACTGGCATTGTCTGCCAAGACCGCAGACAGGCCTGCCTGATTGTGTCTGGGGTGTGACCTCCACCGAGGTCAGCAGACGGGGCTGGGACCAGTGCCCCAAAAGCTGCAGTGATGATTGCCAGATAAGCATCTGTTCTGGGGAGCCTTCGTCTGTGGAAAATAGCATTTAACCCAGTTTAGGTGTGTGTATGGCCATGCTGGGATCAGACCCAGGCCTAGTACAGGGTCAGCAAGTGTTCTGCTGCATCCCTAGTTGGGCCGAAGCGTTTAATAAATGCATGTGCCCCCAGGAGGACACAGCGGGATGTGGCTGCTAGTCAGTTGCGTGTTCTCTGTGTGCCTTCGAGCCAAGGAGGTTATCTGGCTCATGTGGCCGCCACTGGAGTAAGGGCTTTTCCCAGGAGTCCACCTTTGCTTGAGACAGGGTCCCCCTCCCTGGCGCTCACCTTACTGGATGGGTTCTGCTCTGAAAGCTTAGGTTATGTGGTTTACACAGCTTCCAGTGGGTGCCACAAGCCGGGCAGATCGTGCCACTAAATGGAGATGGGGGGCAGGTATTGGAGGCCATGGAGTGTGGTAAACACTGCCTTCCAGATCCATTTCCAGCCTGATACGTGTGGTTCATTTGCTTGGGCTTCCAGGGTACAGCACATTGCTTAGACGCAGTGCTTCCAGTTAGTCTACAAAACCATTTCCTGGAAATACACTGAGTGCTTTGATTTCTGGCTCCATTCACATGGCCCCACTAGACTAGCCAAGCTCTAAGCCAGCAGAGTGGCCTTGCTGCTCTAGTGGACACTTCCAGCTGCTGTTGTCCCCTGGTCTTTGTGTCCTGGGTGTGGTATAGTGTAGTCTCCTTTGGGGAGGGCATTGAGCAGCAACCTTGAGCTCTCTCTCCAAAGACCATGGTTGAGAAGGGTTGAGTACAGAGAAGGAGTCGAACTGGAGCTGGAAGTCAGATTTCCTGGATTAGGGTGTCATGAATCGCTTGCAGATGGGAAACTGAAGATGCTGCCTGTCCCTCCAGGGCATTTGGAAGCAGCAATGCGGGGTGGGGCTGAGAGCTGTGGGCACAACCTTGTCTGGGTATCAGATCCTCAGGGACATTGCTTTGTGCCTGCTTCCTATTTTCCAAACACTGCCAGCTCCTGTCCGCTGCCCAGACAGGGCTTCAGCTGTGTTCAGTGTAACCACCAGTGGAGAACAGAGTCATCAGACTGTATGGAGCCCTGTATTTCTGAAGTTTTATGGTCAATTAAATTCTATTAAAAGATACTTTTAAAATAACAGGCAAGGGCTGGGAAGGTGGCTCAGGGGTAGAGCACTTGCCTTGCATGCATGAGGCCCTGGGTTCGATTCCTCAGCACCACATAAGCAGAAAAAAAATAGCCAGAAGTGGTGCTATGGCTCAAGTGGCAGAACACTAGCCTTGAGCTGAAGAGCTGAGGGACAGTGCCCAGGCCCAGAGTTCAGGCCCCATGACCGGACCTCCCAAAAATAGAAAAAGGAAATAACAGGCAAGAAACCTAAGACCAGAGCCACGTTCAGTGGCACACACCTGTAACCCAGTTTTCTCAGGTGCAGACTTACGACCAGCAAATCCGCTCTTGCTTCATGTACTGTACTAACCTGTTAAAGGAAGTGTAGAAGGGGTTCTCACTGCATAGTCCCAGCTGGCCTTGACCTCCATCCTCCTGGCTCTATCTCCAAGTGTTGGGTTACAGCTGTGCACCTCTATGCCCAAAGAGAGAGAAGACCTTATATTAACAAAACAAACTCAAGCTAGGTGCTGGTGGCTTTAATCCTAGCTACTCTGGAGGCTGAGATCTGAGGATGTCAGTTCAAAGCCAGCATGGGCAGGGGAGTAAAGTTATCTCAGGATTTTTTGTTTTGTTTTGTTTTTGTTTTTGAGACAGGTTTTCTGTGTACCCCAGCTGGCTTCAAACTGGTGATCCTTCAGGGTACATGAGCACCATGCCCTGCTGTCTTGAGTGTTTTAGGTTGCAGTTCTCTGGCATATGATTTTATGAATGGGGGAGTTGTTACCAGTCATCTCTCCCTGCCCCCAGTACTGGGTTTTGCAACTCTTAGCTTTGTGGTACTCAACCACTTGTGTCAAGTCCCCCCCCCCCCTTTTTTTTTCAGTCCTAGGGCTTGAACTCAGGGCCTGGGCACTGTCCCTGAACTTCATTCGCTCAGGGCTAGCATTATACTTAAGCCACTTCCAGCCTTTTCTGTTTATGTGGTACTGAGGCTTCTGCATGCTAGGCAAACACTCTACCACTAGGCCACATTTTCAGCCCCTGTGTCAAGCCGTTTTGCTTTACTTTTTCAAATAGGATCTTGAATTTTTACACAGGGCCAGCCTGGACTCTGATCCTCCTGCCTATACTGTACACCTAGCTGGGATCACAAGTGTGCACCACCATGCCCTGTTTATGATTGGAATGGGGTCCTACACTTTTTGCTTGGGCTGCCCTTGAACTATTCCTGCTCCTGTGTCTCTAGTAGTTGGGATTACAGGAGTGAGTTTTCATTCCTGGCCATAGTTGTGTCATCTTATATGCATGTGCATAGCAGGGTTTATCTCTTGCTCTGTCTCAAGTTGCTGGCACCAGGAGGCACCTCATGTTATCTGGTAAATTAGGTGTGTGATGCTTTAATCTGCTCTCTTCCTGTTGCTTCTGATGCTGGCTTTCCCCAAACCCTGGCAGCATGTCAGTACACTCCTCAGCCCTGCCACCCTCCACACCCAGCATTTTACTGGTTGAAATGCTATCTTTCTGCCCTTGGCAGGCCTTTTGAACCATGATCTTCCTGATACCCACCTCTCCAGAACTGGAATTCTGGGCGTAAACCACTGGGCCTACCCTTACTTTAACTTTTGTGCGCGTGCGTGCGTGCACGCACATGTATGAATGCTAGTACAGTTACCACTTGAACCACTCCTCCAGCTGCAGCTTTTTGCTAGATAATTGGAGATAAGAGTTTTAAATTTGCACAGGCACTGGTGGCTCAAGCCTATAATCCTAACTACTCAGGAGTTGAAATCTGAGGATCACAATTCAGAGCCAGCCCAAGCAGGAAAGTCCATGACACTTACTCCAATTAACTACCAGAAAACCGGAAGTGATACTTGGGTTCAAAGTGATAGAGCACCAGCAAAAGTTTTGAGGGGCTGGGAAGGTGGCTCAGTGGTAGAGCGCTTGCCTTGCATGCCTGAGGCCCTGGGTTCGATTCCCCAGCACCACATAAGCAAAAAGAAAAAAGCCGGAAGTGGCGCTGTGGCTCAAGTGGTAGAACACTAGCCTTGAGCTAAAGAGCTGAGGGACAGCACCCAGGCCCAGAGTTCAGGCCCCACGACTGCCCCCCCTCCCCCCAAAAAAAAAAAAAAAGTTTTGAATGTGTCTGCCCAGGTTGGCTGTGAACCCAATTCTCAGATGTGAGACACAGCACTCGGCTTGTGATTTCCTAGTAGTGTGATTTCCTGTTCATCTATTACCTGGTGGTCTTCTATGTGTTTCTGTAGACTTTACTTTTGAGCAGTTGGGGTTCACAGTGGACAAGCAGGGCCCAAGGCTGCCCTAGAGGCCCAGCCTCAGCATCCTCTTCTGTCACCACCCCATGCCAGTACTGCAGCTGCTGCCAGGCTCATGCCATTGGTTGTGGTCCCCACTACACGCGTGTACTTTTTCCCCCCAAAGATTTCTTTATTGAGACTAAGTAAACTACATAAATTTCATAGTACTATGGCATAGTCATACTTAGCTAAAGTCACAAACACATTTTCACCTTCACAATGATAATCATTCTAATCTACAAATATTAACAATAAAACTTTTTTTTTTCCGGACCAGTAATATGTAGTACATTTCTTTCTTTTTGCTTTGTATCGACTGTTTCCTATTTCTCTTTCCCTCCCCCCATCACTGCCCTTGAGTTGCGTAGCTCACTTTCATTAATGTCCAATGCAGCTGATGGGCCACTCTGCTGTATTTCTTCACTTGCTTTCCACTGATTCTGTGTCCTCCTCCCAGCTTCCTTCAGATGTCACACATGTACTTTTTCTCCTTGTTTGAGGCAGGATCTCACTGTGTAATCAAGGCTGGCCAGCCTGAGTGCAAGGCTTGCAGGCATGCTCCCCATGGCTTCCGGCAGTGGAGAGGCCATGGTGGATTTATGTCTGCCCCAGCAAGCCCCTCCTGCCTGGGTTGTGTGGAACACGTGGTTGGCCTCTGAAGGGCAGAAGGGGTATGCAGCCAGACTCCAGGTGGTAGGAATCAGGTGGCCCATGGGGCTCTGTAGTCCATCACATGCTGTGTTGGCTCCTCCAGGTCCCGTGGCAGTGCTGGTGGCCATGGCTCCCGCAGCCAGAAGGAGCTGCCTACAGAGCCCCCCTACACAGCCTACGTAGGAAATCTACCTTTTAACACGGTTCAGGGCGACATAGACGCCATCTTTAAGGACCTCAGCATAAGGAGTGTGCGGTTAGTCAGAGACAAAGACACAGACAAATTTAAAGGTGAGTTGGCACTTGTTCCTGTGGGGTCTGGGGGGGAACAGGGGGGAAGCTCTGGTGAGGCACGGCCTCAGTGCCATGGGTACTGGCACCTGCCACAGGTCAGCCTCAACAGCGAGCCGCTTGAGCACAAGATGAGCCCGGGGTCAGCACCATTATCCAGGTGCTAAAATCCAGATGATTGTTACAGCTATCCCTGGGAGATGGAGATTGGTGGGGTTGGGGTACTTGGGCAGGGAGCAGGTTACCTGCTGCAGATTTCTAGAGGGAGGCTGTGCAGCAGGCAGCCCCAGCTCTGTGCTCTTCCTGCCGATAGCCCTGCAGCCTGCTGCCAGAGAGCAGTGCAATCCAGACTGCCCATGTGCATGTGTACACTCTGAGCCCGGCCTGTGCGGTGTAAGGGTGGGTATGTGGCCCCCACACTCCAGGTGTTCTCCATACTGGGTCCACCTAGCACAGGCAGCCATCTGTGAGCCCCCAGTACAGTGGAGTATTCTGGAAAGACAAGCATGGAGAGCCAGTGTGCTGCAACTCCAGACAGGGACAGCCAAGCACAAGGAAATGGCAGTGTTGGGTCACCAGACATAGCCTCGTGCCTTCAGAAGATATCACAAGTGCTGGGTCCATGAGTTATTGTGGATTTTTTCTGTCTGTTGGTCATTCTCAAGGTGACCCCAGGACCTTGTTCTGGGCAGGCACTCTACTGGAGTGCCCACTCCAGCCCCAATCCTCAGAACATTTTGAGCATTAATCTGGAACTGTGAGGTCTAGCCCGTGCTTTGATTTTATTCATCAAAGCCACCAAAGCTCACACTACTCCACAGTGACCAGTGGGATTTTCCTACTGCAGTTATGACATGGGCCTGAGGTGCTGCTCAATGCCCAGTGTGCCTGAGGCTAGGGTCCATCCCAGCACAGACAGGGAAGTCCAGTAGCCTCGGCTCTTCCTCTCCATCATAGGCCACAGAGCCAGGTGGCCCTAGGCAGGGAGGAGTAAGCTGGCCCCTGCCTCCTTAGTCCACAACTGCCTCTGTCTTCCAGGATTCTGCTATGTAGAATTCGACGAGGTGGATTCGCTGAAGGAAGCCCTGACATACGACGGTGCGGTGAGTCCCTGGCAGGGCCTGGCCTCATCCATGGTTGGTGTGGGCTTGTCCATACTCACCCCTCTCCCCTTGTCACTAGCTGTTGGGCGATCGGTCACTGCGTGTGGACATTGCAGAAGGCAGAAAGCAAGACAAAGGTGGCTTCGGATTCAGGAAAGGCGGCCCTGATGACAGAGGTGATTGCTTCTCTTATGAAGTCCGCTGGCTGTGTCTGCTGCCCGGACACTACGTGGTCCTTGTGGGGGCAATGCTTCCCCTTGTGGGGGAAGCATTGATAGTCTTAGGGAGAATGCTGGAGGTTCTGGAGGCAACAGAACCTCCTAGAAGGGTTTCATTGACCTCCCATCCATCACGTGACTTGTCCATGTTTCTGCAGCCAGGTAATGACCGCGCCTGAACTTTGTCTCTTTTGTGTGTCCTCAGGAATGGGTGGCTCTCGAGAATCTAGAGGTGGCTGGGATCCCCGGGATGACTTCAATTCGGGTACCAGTATTTACACTTCCCCACTTTACCCCCCACCGCCAGCCTGGCCAACTCCCCTGGAACGCGAGCCTCATGCAGGGCTTTCATGGGGGCAGGTCAGACCCTTACCTGGGCCATGCCCACCTGGGTCCTGCTCCTCTGCGTGGGCAGCATGGGGCCGTGACCTCGCTTTATCAGCATCTTTCTGAGACAAGAAACCAGGAACAGAGAAGCGCCACTGCTTTCCAAAATAATGTTGTGCCGTTCTAGAAGCTTACAGAAATGTGGATGCTGGTGGCTCCTTCTTAGATGGTGAAATTTTGTTCTGGAGGCCTGTGTTTTTCTGGAAGGACATGGAACTCTAGTCCCTTCACAATGAACACAAGCCACTTTCGTGTTCCCTTTCTGTGCCAACACAGGCAGGTTCCCATGATGCCAAGCAGCTCCACGCTGTTTGTTTGTAGTCAGAGGAACCAAAGTAGAAGAGCAGCCATCTTCCTGCCCAGTAGTATAAGGCCCTTTCTGGCCCAGGAGTCTTGGCCCTACCACAGCCTCCTCTATAGCCATAGGCCCATGCCAGTGCTGAGTGAGAGGGGCCAGGGCTGGCCATGGTCAGGAGGCTGGCATGTGTGGACTTACTTCTAGCCCCTCTTGAGTTGAGCAGACAGCTGTGGGGCAGTTCAGTCCTGAGAGTCCTGTAGTCATCAGCCCCATGGTGCTTTGTCCACAGGTCTCTGATCAAGGGAGCCGGACAGTTCATCCCAGGAGGGCTACCCTCTAGTGCCAGCATAAAGTACATAGTGAGGTGACATCTAGAAGCTGACATGCTCACTCCAGGGGGTAATGGCCCAGTGCCTTTCCCAGGGCTTGGAGAAGTAGATTTTTCTTTTTTTGGGGAGGGGGAGGTCCAGTCGTGGGGTCTGAACTCTGGGCCTGGGCACTGTCCCTCAGCTCTTCAGCTCAAGGCTAGCGCTCTACCACTTGAGCCACAGCGCCACTTCCGGCTTTTTTTCTTTTTGCTTATGTGGTGCTGGGGAATCGAACCCAGGGCCTCAGACATACAAAGCAAGCGCTCTAACACTGAGCTTCCCAGCCCCGAGAAGTAGATTTTTCTGCTGGGGGCGTGGCTATGGCAGAGCCCTTGCTTAGTAGCCAGCGAGTGGCCCTGACTTCCAGCCATAGTACCACAAGAACATTCCTTCTAAGAGATAATGTGCACAGTGCAGTTGTTGTTATTTGTGCTAGTTCTGAGGTTTGAACCCAGAGCCTGGGCACTATACTTGAGCTTTTTTTTTTTTTTGCCGGTCATGAGGCCTGAACTCTGGGTCTGGGCGCTGTCCCTCAGCTCTTCAGCTCAAGGCTAGCACTCTACCACTGAAGCCACAGCGCCACTTCTGGCTTTTTCTATTTATGTGGTGCTGAGGAATCGAACCCAGGGCCTCATGCTTGCAAGGCATGCACTCTACCGCTGAGCTACCTTCCCAGCCCCTATACTTGAACTTCTTTTGCTCAAGGCTACCACACTACCTCTTGAGCTACAGCTCCACTTCTGCCTTTTTTTGTTTTTGTAGTTTATTAGAGACATGAGTCTTACAAACTTGCTTGGACTGGCTTCAAATTGGGTTCATCAGATCTCAGACTCCTGAGTAGCTAGGATTACAGACATGAGCCACCCGTACCTAGTTGCTTTTTGTTGTTGTTGTTGTTGGTCATGGAACTTGAACTCCAGGCCTGGGCACGGTTCCTAAGTTTCTTTGGCTCAAGGCTAGCATTCTACACTTTTTTTTTTTTCATCAGTTGTGGGGCTTGAACTCTGGGCCTGGCACTGTCCCTCAGCTCTTCAGCTCAAGGGCCTACCACTTGAACCACAGTGTCTCTTCCGGTTCTCTGATAGTTTATTAGAGATAAGAGTCTCACGGACTTTTCTGCTGGGGCTGGCTTTGAACTGCGACCCTCAGATCTCAGCCTTGAGTAGCTAGGATTACAGGTGTGAGCCACCAGCACCAGGTACACTCTACAACTTTGAGTCAAGCTCCACTTCCAGTTTTCTGGTGCTTAATTGGAGATAAATCTCACAGACTTTCCTACCTGGACTGGCTTCAAACCATTATCCTCAGATCTCAACCTCCTGAGTAACAAGGATTACAAACATGAGCCACCAGAGCCTGGCTCCCAGCTGCTATTTTTTGAAACCACAAAATGAAGTTTGGGGGTATGATTCAGGTGGTAGAGCTCTGGCCAGTGGGCAGAAATATCAAATAGATACTGAGTTCAGGTCCCAGTCTCACAAAATATAAACAATGATAAAGAGAATTATGAAGAAGAAAGCAAGTAGAAACAGCCCATCTGGCTGGGGGTTTAGTGGGGCTGGTAGAGCTCGTGCTGGGCCCTGGGGTTCGCTCCCAGCTGGCTGAGGAAGGGCATAAGTGTGTTCTGTGTGTCTCAGCGCAGACACCTGGCTATCCTGCCAGACCTTGTTCCTCCTGGGCCAGGTGGGTTTTTTTGTTTTTGTCCATCCCATTGGGGGGCTTGAACTCTGGGCCTGGGTGCTGTCCATGAGCTCTTTTGCTCAAGGCTAGCATTCTACCACTTGAGCCACAGAACCACTTCCAGTTTTCTGGTGGTTAATTGGACATGAGTTTCACAGACTTCCCTTGTCTGGACTGGCTTTGAACCACAATCCTCAGGTGTCAGCCTTCTGAGTAGCTAGGATTACAGGCATGAGCCACCAGGGCCCAGCTCCTACATGGTTTTTGAAAGGAGCCTTTGAGGTTGGTGTTGGTGGGTTTTTTTTTTTTTTTGTCCGGTCATGGGGCCTGAACTCTGGGCCTGGGCGCTGTCCCTCAGCTCTTCAGCTCAAGGCTAGCGCTCTACCACTTGAGCCACAGCGCCACTTCCCGCTTTTTTCTTTTTGCTTATGTGGTGCTGAGGAATTGAACCCAGGGCCTCTGGCATGCAAGGCAAGCGCTCTACCACTGAGCCACCTTCCCAGCCCCTGTTGGTGGGTTTTTGAAATGGTATCTCACTGTGTGATCAGGCTGGCCTGTCTCAGCCTCCAGAACCCTGAGATGTCCCTCACCTGGCTTTGAAGGCTGGACCCTTGTGTTTGCCTAGGGAAGGGCAGCTTCACTGTGGGGGTAGTTGGGGGGAGATAACAGGTTAAATGTTGTGAGTGTTACGTAGCATGCCTAAACTGTAATCTAAAGGGCTGGGTGTGGTGGAGTATGCCTGAAATATCCAGCTGTGTTTCTCCAGACAAAAGCACAGAGCCTGGGGTTGGAGGTGAGGCTCAGGTGGTAGAGCGCCAGCCAATGAGCCAAGTGTCACCTACTGAGTTTGAGTCCCAGTCTTGGGTGGGGGGTGCAAGGCCCTCTCCAAGAGGGCAGCATGCCTGCCTAGTAAAGCTCCAGGCCTGGGTTCAGTCCCAGGGCTGCCCCGCCTCCCAAGAAACAGGACTTTGTGAGGAAGTATTTTCCCCAGCGGCTGTCACGTTAGTCTTAAGTGTGTTTGGAGCCGCCTTCAGTTGTGTTAAGTTGATGTTCAACTCCTGGCTGCCTGTCAGCTGCTGTTGAGAGTGGCTGCCTTCCTCTAGGCGCAGAGGCCCGATGTGTGACCCCAGCACGGAGGGGGCTGGGGCGGTGCTTGCGGCGCCTGCCTCCCCTTCCCCAGGGCACAGCGCCCCCTAGGGGCCAACGCAATCCAGTGACTTCGCCATGGGCAGAACCCGGAGCAGCCACCCTAATGCCCACGTCAGTGCCCACTGCTCTGCCTGCCAGCCCCTTCCCCACACCACAGCATCATGAGCTGTGCTGTGTGCACAGGAACTACTGACAGACCGCTCGTCTTTCAGCACATTCCATCACGTGGTCCAGGAGACTTGGATACTGACCTAGCTGGCTGGACCGTGAAATGCGGGCGGCCGCTGACGCCCCTTTCTCCTCCAGGCTTCCGGGATGATTTCCTCGGAGGACGGGGTGGCAGCCGCCCCGGGGACCGGAGGGCGGGCCCTCCCATGGGGAGTCGCTTCCGGGACGGCCCTCCCCTGCGTGGATCCAACATGGACTTCAGAGAGCCCACGGAAGGTATGGTGCACCCCTCGGGCATGGGTGGGCCCCAGTCCAGTGCAGCCACGTGCCTGAACTGCCTTGTTCTCTCCCCAGAGGAAAGAGCACAGAGGCCTCGGCTCCAGCTTAAACCCCGGACAGTGGCGACGCCCCTCAACCAAGTAGCCAACCCCAACTCTGCCATCTTCGGGGGGGCCCGGCCCAGAGAGGAAGTCGTCCAGAAGGGGCAGGAATGAGCTCGCAGTTGGGAGGGAAGGGGGTGTGGGGAGTTAGAGCAGACCTCAGCCTGGGGGGCCTGGCTGCCCTCAGCCACCATTCCTGAGCCTGACACCGCCCTCCTCCCTCGCGCACAGGAACAGCTCGAGCTGCACCAGCTGTTAACAAGTGGTTTTTAGTAGCTCGCCTCGCCCTGCCTCTGCCCTGCCTCGCCCCGCCGTGCCCACCCTGCTAGCTAGCGCCCTGCTTAATTCTTCCCTTCCTTCCTCTCTGCCTCTCCGTACATCTTCCTCATCTCCATCTCTGTCTCCCTTCTCCTTGCGGCTCTCTCTGGCTCACTCTCCCGTGCTTACGTGCTGCGGGGAGGACGGCAGGGGTGAGCAGTGGGGCCACTGTGGGGCCTTCCTTGTTCTGGGTGCTTCTCCAACCGCATGCTGAGTTCTGTGTGCCCGCAGCCTCCAGCATAGCGGAGGCCCTGCTAGGTTCCCCTGCCCCTTTCCTGCCCCGGCTGTCACCCCCAGTCTCAGCCAGAGTCCCGGGGCTGCCTAAGCAAAGCTGCCCTCGCCCCGCAGTAAGACCTCGGGGGTGCAGAGTGTGGATGCCACCCAGCACGGGGGCTTGGTCCCTTCCCCTCTGCTCCCCCACGGGGTCCAAAGCAGGGCCCCCGGCATGGAGGCCCTCCCCTCCCTCAGCAGCAGTGCCCCATCTCCTGTGTTCATTACTCCTACCCTGAACCCACCGCCACCCTGGGCCTGGGATCTGGCACTCACCTGTCAACTCGGTGAGCTGAAGGTGCTGGGCACAGTCCTCTACCATGGTACTGGCCTGTACTACCAGGAGGAAGCTTGAACACCTGTGTGAGAACAAATGGAAAGTTCTGTAGTGCCTGAGTCCTGGGCTGTGCCAGTGGGAACAGGTGGAGTTCGCCCTGGCCCTAGAGTCTTAGGGGAAGAGGCCTGGTGCAGCTGGAGGCTGTGGGCACCAGGGGCAGTGTGCTTCCGTGGTAGCTGCCATTGCCAGGCTTGGCTCTTGTTTGTCTGTTGCAAGGTCTCAGCAATTTCCAGAACTCTCTTCCTCCTCCCCCTGCCTCTTCCCTCCTTCCTTCTTTCCCTCCCTTCCTCCCTCCCCTTCCCTCTTTCCTTCCTTCCTTTTGCTTGCCATCTTTTCTGCTTCTGAGATAAGAACCATTTGTGTAACACCAATAATTAACTTAAGGAAGACCTGCATTATGTGGTTGCAATCAAACCTGATGCTTTCAGATGCCCTACTTACATCTCCAGTGTGGGAAAGATAAGAACAAATCCACCCAAACTTCCGGCCTTCCAGAAGGCCTTTAAATGAGAATGGAATTCCAAACACTTAACACATTCAGTGCTCTGACAGAACGTAGATCTATGGATATGGTATTTTGTGAATGATCTTTTAAATAAAAGAGAACCTTACGTAATGTTTAATGCTGTTCCTCATTGTGGAGTTTTCTGGCTGCTGGTGGTGACATTGAGTGCTGTGGTCATTGTCAGGACCAGTGTCCTCACTGTTCATGGAGGTGCTCTTACTGGCTGTGCATCTTGTGGCACCCTGGCCTGCAGCCTCTAGGGGGCGCTGTGGGTGAATGTCACGGTGTAATGTATCCAGGGGGCACTGTGGATGGCCATCACCATGTCCTGTGGCATGAAGGTTGCCCCTGACCACCATCCCTGAGCCCTCAAGTCATTTATTACTCAGTATCTGACGGGTATGTAAGTAAACATGGAAACTACTCCCCAGAGAAGTCCACATGGCAGTACCTCGCAGATGTTGGCCCCTGGGGTCTTGCTTCAGGCCAGGGAGTGCTGGGGATGGCACCTGCTCCTCAGTGGCTTCCTTGTAGCTCAGAATGCCTTGCCTCTATGTGTGTGCCAGTCATGAGGCTTGGGCTTGGGTCTGGGGGGCTGCCCCCACTCAAAGCTGGCACTTTACCACTTGAGCTTCAGCACCACACTTCTGGCTTTTGTGTAGTTGGAGATAAGGGAATCTCTACCTCCTGAGTAGCTGGGGTTACAGATGTGAGTGCCCAGCTGTTTTTGTTATTTTCTAGTATACCAGAATTTGAACCCAGTGCTTGTTGCTAGGCAAGTATTCGACCACCAGAGCCAGCCTCCAGCCAACCAAGCTTTTTTCAAATGTTTTTTAATTCACAACCATAGAGATGAGACCTGATCAAATAAGAAGAGCAAAATCCGGGTTGTAGAGAAATAGAAACTGCCCAGATAGAGGTCAGTGCCGCCTGGATATAGCGGGGGGGTGCAGAAGTCAGGAGCCTGTCCTGGCGTGTCTGCCTGGTGGGAAGCCAGGCAAATGGTCCCAGCCATGAGCACTGGCCTTCGTGGACCCCTTGACTCATCCCGTCATTACGGATGGCAGTAAGGGGCTCAGTCTTCCTTGCCCTCCAGGTAGCAAGGGGCTAGACCAAGTCCAGGTCCCATCCCTGTGGGATCCAAATCTTCTCTGTCTCCATGGGGTTGGCAGCAGCAGGCCCTGGCAGCCATCCTGGGCAAGGGCTGGAGAAATATTGTTGCATGGGGTCCCCATGCTGGGACCTGGGCTCTCCACCCCTCCACCCCCCCTCCTCAATTGTGGGGCTTGAACTCTGGGCCTGGGTGCTGTCCTTCAGCTCTTCAGCTCAAGGCAAGCACTCTACCGCTTGAGCCACAGCGCCACTTCCAGTTTTCTAGTGGTTTATTGGCGATAAGAGCCTCATGGACTTTCCTGCCTGGGCTGGCTTTGAACCATGATCTCAGATCACCGTGGTCTCAGATCACCGTCTCCTTAGTAGCTAGGATTACAGGCGTGAGCCACCAGTGCCCACTCAGGACCTGGGTTCTTTTTTATTTATTTTTGGGTCTGGTTGTGGGGCCTGAACTCTGGGCCTGGGTGCTGTCCCTCAGCTCTTCTGCTCAAGGCTAGGGCTCTACCACTTGAGCCACAGCGCCACTTCCGGCTTCTTTCTTTTTGCTTATGTGGTGCTGAGGAATCGAACCCAGGGCCTCAGGCATGCAAGGCAAGCTCTCTACCACTGATCCACCTTCCCAGCCCCATGGACCTGGGTTCTTAAACAATGACTTAAAGCAAGTAGAGGAATGCTGGTGAGCCTGGTGCCTGGAGGGCTGGCTCCGGTGGGTGAATACCCTTGGCAGTGGTCTGGACAGGTGCTAGCACTGCACTCAGCTGTGTGATACTGAGCTGTCCCACTCACACAGACTGCAGCCGGCCCTCCTCCACGTCTCCTGCCCTGTGACTGGCTGTCCTCCGCTCCAGCCTTGGTTGGTCATTTGTTGCATCCTGGTGATGTGCATGTGCTGGGTGTCCCTGTGTGTCACCAGCTGAGGCCCGCTCCCAGGGTCCTCCTCTCTTCCAGCTGTCACCGCGTCTGCCCGGCTGTGCTGTGCGCTGGTGGCCCCCTCGTTCTCCTTCCTCCCAGGATTTTTGTGGCCCTCCCCTGTCCTCTGCTTTCTCCCCAGGGAACTCCCCTGTTCTTCGCCCCGTCTCCCTTTGCCCCTCCCCTCCTCCATCACTGGCTGGCCTGTCCGGTGAGCAGGCGGATGTGGGTTGATACAAGAGCCACCAAAAGCCACCACCTCGCCTGCTTCCGCCCCAGCCTGTGGCATTGGCCTCAGCAGGCAGGTATGCAGGCGTGAGGAAGCCCCCATGTCTCAGGTAAGCCTTTCCTAGGGGTGTCGGGAGTCTGGGTGAGGCTGAGGTTCCAAGGGGTCCCCTTCACCCCAGGAGCCTTGGTGGCTGAGGTGCCTGTGCCTGTGTCTGGGCACTCTTGACCCTATCACGTGCAGGGGCGCCTGCCTGGGGTTCAGGACACTTCTGCCCTCAGCGTCCCAGCCCCATCTGAGCAGCAATCCTGGGAAGCCTGGGTCCCCCTTGGCAGCATTTTTTTTTTGGGGGGGGGGGGGAGTCCAGTCATGGGGCCTAGGCGCTGTCCCTCAGCTCTTCAAGGCTAGCACTCTACCACTTGAGCCACAGCGCCACTTCTGGCTTTTTTCTTTTTGCTTATGTGGTGCTGAGGAATCGAACCCAGGGCCTCAGGCATGCAAGGCAAGCGCTCTACCACTGAATCACCTTCCCAGCCCCCCCCCCCCTTGGCGGCTTTATTGCACTGGCTCTTGCCTAGGGCAGCTGTGCCAGGCCCTACCTGGCCCATGCCTGTAACTCTGATAGGGTCTGAGCAGGTGGCAGCCACAGGCCCAGGGGCGCCCGGTGCTGTGGAGGAGCAGCCTGGCTCTGGCTACCCCAGCCTCGCCATCACCACCATTGGCTTGAGACAAGGATTGTCAGGTCCCTGCCCAAGCCTTGTCTCTCTGGCCATCTGGCTACCATGGGAGTTACCTGGACAAAATTGCAGGTTCCAGGATTGATGGTCCCCCAGCCTCTGTGAGAGATTGGGCCCCAGTTTCCCCATCTGCGCTGTGGAGTACAGCGCAGTGTTACAGGTGGTCTCTGAGGACCCTCCAGCCACAGGCTCTGCTGCTGGGCCTGGCTGGGCGCCTGCACCGGGTCAACCTTGCTCATAAGAAAACTGCACACTTCCCCCCAAGCTATTTTGGCCACAGAACCGCAGGACTGTGGCAGCCGTTCCCCTTCCTCTGCCAGCCCCTTGAGGCCTTGCTGGGGCCCCTAAGCCCCAAACTCTACTCCCTCAGCCCCTTTCAATCCAGAGAGAGGAGAAAGGACAGGGATGAAGGTGATTTATCCAAGTGTTTTTGTGTGTCGGTCGTGGGGCCTGAGCTCTGGGCCTTGGTGCTGTCCCTCAGCTCTTCAGCTCAAGGCTACCGCTCTACTGCTTGAGCCACAGCGCCACTTCGGCTTTTCTGAGTGGCTTATTGAAGATAGTCTCACAGTCTTTCCTGGGGGGGGAGGGGGAGAGTGGTTTTGAACCGTGATCCTCAGATATCATCTTCCTGAGTAGCTAGGATTACAGGCGTGAGCCACCAGCGCCCCGGCTATTCAGTTTTATGTTGAATTATTTGAAGTTTGAAAGGAAAGAAGTGTGTCATTTGCCCTCAGCCTGTCCTGTGCAACATATATGCATGTGTGTGCACAGGTGCACACACACAAGTGGGCATACCACTTACGGGCTTGAACTCGGGGCCTTGAACTCTTCCTTAGCTTAATAGCTTTTTTTTGTTGTTGTTGTTCAAGACTGGTACTCTACCTTTGAGCCCAGCACCACTTACAGTTTTTTTGCTGTTTAGTTGGAGATCAGAGTCTCATGGACATTTCTGCTGGGCTGGCTTCAAACCATGATCCTCAGGTCTCAGCCTCCTGAGAAGCTGGGATTATAGGCATGAGCCTCAGTGCCCAACCTGTCTATCCTGGGTTTCAATCCTAGCACTGTATGAACTTGAAACACCTCTCTCAGCCCAGAGTCCCACCAGGTCTGGCCACCATTCTCATCCCCAGGTGACAGTGCAGGGCAGTGTCACTGTTTCCCCTGACAGACAGTGTGGGTCATCTACTTTGCTTGTGTTTTTATGCTGGTCCGAGGGCTTAAACTCAGCCTCAGAGCCTTGTGCTTTCCATCAGCTGGTGTACTATCGTTTGAGCCACGCCTCCACCCTGACTTTTGGCTGACTTTTCTGCCACCATTTGGTTGGCAGACAGTGGCAGGAAGATGTGTGGGCAAAACCAGGGTTGGGGGTGAGCAGCTGTGGAAGAGCTCATTGGGCCCAAACCTTCCAGCAGGTGCAAAGCATAATAGGGGCCGGGCTGGCTGGCTGCGCCTAGATTACCGTGTGACATTGCAGGTGGGACCCCAAGTCAACATGAGCGGGGACACAGAGCTACTGTGGCTGGCGGCAGTGCTGCTGCTGCTTCTGGGGGCCACCACTGGGCTGTGTGCACGCTGCTTCCACCCAGGTAGGGGCCACGGGGCCGGGGGGGGGGGAGGGCACAGAAAGCAGGGTGGCTCTGTGCTACCCCAGGGAACAGAGGTCTGCTTCCCTGGGGACCGCAGTTCTGCTGGGTCACGGGGTCTCTGGGGTCAGAAAGTTGCTCTGGGCAAGGAGGGGATTCTGCTGCCCATGACACCACCTTTTCCAAGCTGAATTCTCCCTTTTTGTCCTCCCTTTCCCTAGCCTCCTCTCTTCTGTTTTTTACTTTTATTTTTTGTCGGTCATGGGGCTTGAACTCCAGGCTTGGGCACTATCCCTGTGCTCTTCAGCTCAAGGCGAGCACTCTACCACTTGAGATGAGGGTCTCACAGACTTTCCTGCCTGGGCTGGCTTTGAACTTCGATCCTCAGATCTCAGCCTCCTGAGTAGCTAGGATTACAGGCATGAGACACTGGCACCCAACTTGGTTGTTTTTTGTCTTTGACTTTTGACATGGAGTCTCACTATGTGGCCTGGGCTAATGTCAAGCTCTCAATCCTCATGCTGTGCCCCAGCCTCAGTTTCCCCAGGTC